AAAAAAAAAAAAAACTTATTGAAAATTTTAATTCAAGGACTTATGAGTTAATTATACCAAATACTTTTAACATATCATATACATTTTTGTCCATTGTCTAAACTCAATTTACTTATCTATTTTATTATATCAATGATTTTTTCAGTCAAATTTTAAAGATAAATATAATTTCTTATTTTTATACATACAATATGAATGTTAAATCGAATTCATCAAAAGATGATTACTTTGATATATTATACATGTAAAAATGATAAAAAATATAAAACTTATAAAGTTTTAAAATACATTTACAATTCAATCGTTATAATAAGAAATGATATTAAAATGCAATTAATACATGTAACATAACCATAAATAGTCAACATATTTGTAGATAATCCGTACCTAATTATTTTTGTATTGAAAATAAAATTAGAATAAATCCAAGCTAAAAACATGTAATTTTGTCACATAAAATTTCGAAATATGCGAGCCGGCTTTCAGGCTCTAATACGTTCGTTCTAAATTAATATATAGGGATGCCTATGTGATACCCTACTATGTGATGTGATACACCCTATGGCAGGCGATCATAACTCCCTCTTTTCAATTTTCAAACACGACATTACTACACAGAAATCCACGATGACGCCACTTTTAACACAGTTGTATATATAAAATTGCAGAAATTATCAGACGAAATAAAAAAAAAAAAAAAAAGAAAAAAAAGTCGTCGATTTTACTCAGCAGCCGGCCGCTAAACGTGAAAACTTGCAACCGGAGAATATCTATGCTGCTGAGATGTTCTCCATGAGTTGAGAGCGTTCTTCTCACTCGACCCATTATAAAATTTTCCAAAAAAAATTGCTGTTAAAGGGGATTTTCTGGTCGAAAAGCGAGGTAATCGAAAATGGCGGTGGGTCGGAGGGAGAAGGGCAGCCAATCATCGTCCCGAGGGTCGCGAATCGCGGCGGCGGTTGGGATCGGAGTGGCTTTGGGATGCGTGTTTGCGTTTTTGTTCCCCCATGGATTTTTCTCCTCCAATCAGTTGACCCGCGTTCGTTCCCTTTCGAATTCCAATCTTCAGGTGCCGATTTCTCCCCCTTTTGGGGTTCCTTTGCCCTAATTCAATTTGCTATATCCAGAACATTTGAAGATTGCTAGTTTCTTGATAATTGAATTGTTCGTAATGCCCTTGGGCTGTGTAGTGTTCGACAATTTGAGGGGTGAGTTGACTGCGTGTGCTCGAGTGCTTCAATTTATTTTATTTGATTTGGTTAAATAGTTGAGTCCCTCTTCAGGTAGATAGATCAGATTGAATTTCTTTTAGTTTGACAGTTTCTGTGTTTAGTTTTCACAACACTGTTGATGTATTGAGATGGCTTTGTTTAACTTTACTGAAAGAAGACTCTGATAAAACTTAACACAGTTATATGCATTTCTTACTTCGAATCTTGCTCGATTTTCTTGGTGTATCGGCACACAGGTCGATCCACCTGCTTGTGAGTCGACCGAGAAAATAAACCGGCTCAAGTCCAGCGTCATGACTTTATCAGACAAGAATGCCGAGTTGAAAAGGCAAATCCGAGAATTGAATGAAAAGCTAAGATTGGCCGAGCAGGGCAAGGATCACGCGCACGAGCAGATTCTCGTGTTGGGCGAAGAACCTCGCAAGGCCGGGCCTTTTGGCACTGTCAAGGGTTTGAGGACGAACCCTAGCGTCCTACCCGACGAGAGCGTAAACCCACGACTTGCGAAAATCCTTTCAGAAGTTGCAGTTGGTAAAGAGCTCATAGTTGCTCTGGCCAATTCAAATGTGAAGCCCATGCTCGAAGTCTGGTTCACCAACATTAAAAAAGTGGGCATCACTAATTATTTAGTCGTGGCATTAGATGATGAAATTGTGGATTTCTGCAAGTCGAACGATGTCCCTTTTTATAAAAGGGACCCAGACGAGTTTATCGACTCCGTGGGGAAGACCGGCGGGAATCACGCGGTCTCGGGACTTAAATTTCGAATCTTGAGGGAGTTTTTGCAGCTGGGCTATAGTGTTCTTCTTTCGGATATCGATATCGTGTTTCTGCAGAACCCGTTTGATTTCTTGTACAGGGATTCTGATGTGGAATCGATGTCGGATGGACATAACAACATGACAGCTTATGGGTTTGACGATGTTTTTGACGAGCCGTCAATGGGCTGGGCCCGCTATGCCCACACGATGAGGATTTGGGTTTATAATTCTGGGTTTTTCTACATAAGGCCCACAATTCCAGCTATCGAGCTTTTGGACAGGATTGCGGGCAGGCTTGCTCGGGAGGCGAAATCATGGGATCAAGCTGTTTTTAACGAGGAGCTGTTTTACCCTTCGCACCCCGGGTATGTGGGCCTTCATGCGTCCAAGAGGACTATGGATTTTTACCTGTTTATGAACAGCAAGGTTCTTTTCAAGACTGTTAGGAAAGATGGTAATTTGAAGAAGCTGAGGCCAGTTATTGTTCATGTTAATTATCATCCGGACAAGTTTCCGAGGATGAAAGCTGTTGTAGAGTACTATGTGAATGGGAAGCAAGATGCTCTGGATCCGTTTCCTGATGGGTCTGAGTGATAGTGAAAGACGTTCTTCTGTATTTGTGCGAAATACTTCTCTCGTTTTGCAGGGGGCAAAGAACGATGGATCTTTTTTGAGCAAAGTTATAACTCTTTTTTCTGTTTAATGTAGTTCGTTGAAACACATGATTGACATACATCTGAATCTTTTACTACCTTCACAATTTCTTGTTTGTTTTTGTTATTTTCAGCCATTTGGAATATTTGGTGGGAATTTTACTGTAAAATGTTCATCTGGTGCTCCATCATCCTCTTGATGTTGGGATCCAGCTTCTTACATTCTAAAACATATATTTTTCTTGTGGGAAAATAAGCAAATCTGAGAAAATAGTTACTGTTCTGCACCGGGTAATTGTTCGTAGGATCAGGTTAGACGCACAAACTCGTTTCGTTCATATGAATCATTTCGATTATGAAAAACACGTTGTATGAATCGATATAACCGTTAAAAGAGCGAATCCTCAATATTTTTATAATAAAAATGCATATTTATGTTACGGATGTCATCTTTTTTGTTTATATTATTTTTTAGAGCACTGTCATTCTAGTTTGACAATATGCACATTTATAGAAAATGTATAACTATCAAACTGATTGATCTGTGTCTAACAGTGTAGCCTTACTGCTTGAGGTTTGTATTCTTCACCTTGACAATAATAAGTATCAAGGATGCATTTTTAATATGATGGTGTCATTTCGTAAATTTGAAAATAATTGGTCTCTTCTACTTATTGGACTAATGTAACAACCCTTTTAGGAAATGACATTAGTATGAACAATTCCACCCGAACCGGAAATAAATCGGGTGTAAGTCGGTTTGACTCGATTCTTTTTAACCTGCAAAACACATTTGGGGTTCTCGGTGAAAAAGCTTCGACTCACAAAGTATTGCAATTGAGAGACTGCATCGCACGTATTTTGTAACCAAACTTGGAACCATTCGTTTAATTATAATGGAAGATTTTCTTCTCCTAGTTACTTTGTTATTTGTAAAGAGGTCCGAACATATCTTGTTTCTTAGTAGGATCCGACTCAAGATCCTCTACCACATTTAGGGTTCGTTTTCCTACTTCAATGGGATTTGATATATAACCACTATAGGTCGTTGTTGGCCCTTCCTCTTAAGGTCGCACGACTCATCCTTTGAGGCTACACCTCTTATTCCGAGCTATTAGATATATGAGCCGCTAATAAATCGGGTGTTAGTCGGTTTGACTCGATTCTTTTTAACCTTCAAAACACATTTGGGGTTCTCGGCGAAAAAGCTTCGACTCACAAAGTATTGCAATTGAGAGACTGCATCGCACGTATTTTGTAACCAAACTTGGAACCATTCGTTTAATTATAATGGAAGATTTTCTTCTCCTAGTTACTTTGTTATTTGTAAAGAGGTCCGAACATATCTTGTTTCTTAGTAGGATCCGACTCAAGATCCTCTACCACATTTAGGGTTCGTTTTCCTACTTCAATGGGATTTGATATATAACCACTATAGGTCGTTAGTGGCCCTTCCTCTTAAGGTCGCACGACTCATCCTTTGAGGCTACACCTCTTATTCCGAGCTATTAGATATATGAGCCGCTAATAGGGTCGGCCCTGGGACAGGGCGACTGCCTAGTGCCCATTAATTTTAGGGGCACCAAATGGTTATATATTCATATGTTATATGAATTGTAATTAAAAAATATTTAATTGTGAAATTAGTCTTTAAAATTAGTTATTTATTTTACTTTTTGTTTGATTTTCACAAAATGAGACTTCTAATCTTTTTTATTCCATATGTTTGGATGAAATTTTGATAATAAAACTAAATTTTTTGTTTATTTTTATATTATTCTTTCATTCAATCTTCTAAATATCTCTGACATAAATATTGGTATTTTGTTACATATAATTCGATCGTAAAAGCGGTGGTGTTAAAGGGAGTACTGTGAATTTTACTCATTCTTTTTTTTTTTTTCAACGACAATGCAATATTATAAACCTCAAAAGCAATTTACAGATCGAGCTACCAACTGATAGCAAGTTTTAGGGGAAGCTCTACACATCTTCCCCTTCAGGACCCTATTCAAAATATACAAAAGAACCCCACTAAAAGACACTAGCCTATCTAACACAAAAAGCACATGAATGGAAAGAAGAAGCTAATGAATAGACATCAAATGCTAGAGAATTACAACAGACATCAAAATCCTTCCTATCAGCTAGCTTCTTAACAAGAGTCTTCTGATTCAGTATGAAGCAACACTTATTCCAACCTTCTTGAAGAGTCTTCTGCATTAACCATCTCACCACCATTAGCCATGCTTCTTCCTTGCACCCTGTGAAGAACTTTGTGTCTGCTATTCTCTGTAGGAGCTCTCCTTTTTTCTCAACTGTACATGAAATTTCCACTTGATCCTTGGAAGAGTATAGAGCACTGACAGTGAGACACCACTGCCCTATTCTCGAGGAAAAACACTCTTCAGGGGTCAAGGGAATCTCATCCACTGCCTTAGGACACCTCTCCTTCTTGCCTGAACTGTCTGCAAACTCTATCCATTCTGCTCTTGCTTTTTGAATCAGTTGAAATTCACAACACTTTTCTTTTCTGAATACCCATGAGTTTCTTGTCTTCCAGAGCCACCACATTATATAAGTAGATAAGCTCACTCTGTCTCTAAGGTTGCCTGAAAGACAAACATCCTTGAAGTTGCCCCACCATTCTCTGAATTTTACTCATTTTGAATGTGAGTTCTAATGAGCCGATTGTTTTGAGTAAATTTATTAAAAAAGTTATTTTAGTAGTTTTTGTAAGGGCATCCGCATTTGTTATTTTTTTTTCTCATTCATTCAATAAAAAAGTACACTCTCTCTCTCTCTTCCACATCATTTCCACATCACATTTCCACTAATTCTCTCTCCATTTAAACACACACTCACATCCCTACACATTCATTTAAATACAAATATGAGACCCATTATATCCATTCATTCAATATAAATTTCAATATTCTATTCTCAATAAAAATAAAAATTTAATATTTTCAAATTATAATAATAAATTTTAAATACATGAAAATAAAAGCACACTACAATACCAAAATAACTTAAATTAAGATTATACAAGAAAAAAATAATACAATTACAAAATATAATTTTTTTAGTGGCTAAAATGAGTCCAAATATGCTCAACTAAATCGGCACGAAGTTGATGATGAACTGTGTTATCTCGTATCTCTGAACTTCTACGGATATAATTTTGAAATTCTCGATTTGAACCCTGGACAGGCTATGCGTGCTCTTCATCCTCGTCATTGTGCCAATTTGTTACTACAACTCCTTCATTTTCAACAATCATATTGTGTAAAATAATGCATGTCAACATAACAAATTTCAGTTTTCTTCTATACCAAAATCGAGCAGGACCTCTTACAATTGTCCATCGAGACTGAAGCACCCCAAATGCTCTTTCCACATCCTTTCGAGCAGCTTCTTGTTTTTCTTTAAATTACTTTCTTTTAAGATCTGACGGGTAAGGAAAATACTTTACGAACGTAGCCCATTCTGGATAAAAAGTATAAAAAAAAATTCAACGGATAGAATGTAAAAAAGACTAAACAGATACAAAAACAATTTAATCAAAAGTAAACAAAAAAGAATAAAAAAGACTTGGATAGAGCCGTTGAAAAAGAAAAAAAGAAAAAGAAAAAAAAGAATTATAAAAAGGTTTGGAAATAACTGTTGAAGAGAAAAAACAAAAAAAAAAGAAAAAAAAATGTTGCAAATAGCCGTTCAATGTGCTGAACGGCAGTGGTGGGCCAGCTAATTTTCACCATCAAATGAATGGACTCCCATCGGTTGAACATTAACTATGCATTTAAATGGATGGATTCAATGAACCATTGTGGATACCTAATAAAAATACAATCAGTTAAAAAGTTTGAACCAACTCTTGAGGACTTTAATTAGATTAAACTATATGGCTAAAGAAGATAGCTTGAGATTTTGGTTGTCTTCTCACTACAAGAAACGCGCCAAAAACTGACGAAAAATTACACTTTGGTGACGATTTCTGTCATCAAAGTTTCACCAAAGTGTAATTTTCGTTACTCTAGGTATTTTGTGGTGAATTTCAAGTCTCATGACAATCGTCATTTAAGCTCTGTGTTATTTCGTATAAATGACACTTAAGCTTTCATCACTAATTGGTTATCTTTCCACGACAATGACTAGCATATTAAACTACTTATCATGACGACGAAATCGTCACTAAATGTGTAATATTTACGTCGTATTGTACTATGTATTGTCATTAATTGATTATCTTTTCATGATGGTTTATGGTCGTCACATAGTAAATTATCAACAATGACGATTAAAGCGTTCTTAAATGAGTCAACTGTCATTTTTTCTTTTGGTTCGTCCTTTAATACTATACTTATAATGTCAAAGATATGCCTCGTGAACGATGCATTAAAATTCGGTGACGAATATCATCCTACTATAGAAATCATATAAACGTTTGTCATGGATTTATCCGTCATTATTTAACCATTTGATTTTGTCATATTTAAGTATTGGGTGATGCTTGTTATTGTGTATATTTGTGTATTTACTATATTAGCCTTATGTTCTCTTTAGGTAATTGGAGCCCTAATTTTTGTGTATATATTCATGGTTAATAGAGAGATGTATCATCCGATTGAGATGATTATTTTCCCAAGTTTCTCCTGTCTCTTTCGTATCATGGTATCAGAGACTTGATATTTTTCGGATCACAAATTTCTTTTCCCTGTCTAATCCGATTGACTTCGTCACTCGGTTTCATCTATATATTTTATCTATTGTTTTCATCTCTGCTTCTGTTAAATCTATTGTGTTTGGGCGATCGAAAAAAAGGAGTGTTTTTAGTTTGTGAACGAGAAAGTCATATATCGGTTGTGTTCAATTTTCCCAATTTTCAGATTGCTTGATTGTCTCTTCGTTCGGTGATTGTCCGCTAGTAGCTTGCTTGCC